TAATTGTAAATATTGTATATTTAATTGTTTGTTCATTCTTAAATCAATTGATTGGTTTATCCTACTATATGTTTATGTTCGACTCAAATCAAACAATCGCATTACAATTTTGGAATGTTGTTAATTTCACAGCGATTGACGAGTATGTGACTTGTACAAAATTGTCATTTAGGGGAATCTGACTTGTACAAAATTGACGAGTATGTGCTCTTGCTCCACACCTGCCCACCTACGCTGTTGAGGAAACTATTCGGTAGATGGTATTCTAGACGTACGTGGACGTTCAAGACCAAACAAACTATTAAGTGAGAGAATATGGTCGAAAACTTCCCACTCAACTTCATTCAATAGACGAAATATTGTCTTAGCATACATTGCTTTCCAATAATCAATCGTGTAATAAAGAGATCATAATGTCCTTGCTGCGAAGCCTCTATACATAGCCACAACGATTGCATTCTTACATGGGAAACTCTCCAACCGAAATTGACGACAAGTGCATGTGTTATTAGTCAAGTCCACCATGTATGTCATATTACATGCACATTACACGGAGAAGTGTAACTCATCAAGTGGTTCTACATACAACTTTTTCGCAAGCTCTACAGCCTTGAAGAGTTTATCCTCTTGAGCTGGGGCTAGAACGTCGTTCGTGAAACTGCTGCTGCAACTTGTTATGAATGTTCTCAATCATTGCAATGATTGGTAACTCTCGATCCTTTTTGAACAATACGTTGAGAGATTTCGTATTGTTTGACGTCATCATATTATATCGACAACCTGGAAAATGTGATCGCATCCAATGTTCAATCCCCATATTTGTTGGATACTCCCATTCCGGTAACAATTTACTTCATATTTCTACCATGAACTTATTACACTCTTCAACACTATAAGCTTCGACCATTTTCCTGACTCGAAACTTAGTTTTAAGGTTGCTTTGTATATGATACATGCAATATCCATGATGTGCCTGGGGAAATACGTCAACGATACCATTTATTATAGACTGTCCCCGATTAGTTACGAAGGCAAGGTCCTCGATTTGCCCGATTACGTCCCTCAGCATTATGAAGAACCAATTTATCGACGGATCATTCTCGCTATCAACTATGCCGAATGCAAGATGGTAAATTTGGATGTTGACATCTTGACATGTAGTAATAATTAACTTGCCTTCGTATCTAGCTTTCTTAGTTGTACCATCAACTAGAATTAGGGGTCGTATCGCATTTCAAAATCCCCGAATGTATTGTCCAAGAGCTATGAAGAAAAACTTAAAGGAATTCTCGCCCTCTGTCTCAATAAAAAAAGACGAGGCAGGATTAGTTGTTCCCATATTATGGCAATACCTAGCCAATTTAGCATAGCTCTCCTCGACCGAGCTTATTAAATCCTCTAACGCACATTCTTTGGCCTTCCAGGCCATCTGATAGCCATGACGACTTCGTAATCTCGACAGATGTTGTTAATGATGTCCGAAAATCTATAGATCGTCCGTGGGTCCTGATACTTGTACATTATCTGTCGACCAATAAACCATGCTTGAGCTTGCCTATGATTATTTCGACGAACTCCCATTTTGCAATTATGTTCCTGTGGTACTTATGAACTACAAACTTCGTGTCCATTTTCGTAGCTCGCAAACGCC